ACCTTAGGGATCCAAGGCCAGCTCCATCATTTTACAGATGAGAAAATTGAGCCTCAGAAAGGGAAGTAATTTGCCCAACATCCGGAACGAGTTAATGCAAGGGCTGAGACCAGACCACTGGACTCTTAATCGAGCTCTCCTGCCAATATGCCACACCCCCATTGCTTTGCATTGACATCATTCAACTTTTTAAACATTTTCTTTAACACATTATAAGTCTTCTTTTACTAGAGAACATTAACGTTTCCTTTAGGAGATGGTAAACTGACCAGGTTTTCTTGCTTTCTTTTTCTTCTCTTTTTCTTACTTAGGGAATCTATTTAGGTTATTCTTTGGGTCTGAATCGGGTCTGTAGAACTGAATTGCTTGGTGAAGTTAGGCTAATATTCAGCTAGAAATTAACCCACGCAAGTTGTGCAGTGATCTGCTGAGATAGTTAGCAATGATGCCCCAAATTCCCAAATCATACAGGGAGCATTGAGATCCAACATTTAGCCTTTCTAAAATGAATTTTAGATAGTCTTTTCCTGGGACATTCTCTTAAGGATTGCTTTGATAGTTATATGGAAAAAAAGGTATAATGCTACTGACTTAAACAGAAGATAGGTTAAAAATCTGAAGCGTCATTATATCTTTTAGCAAGTAAGCTCACAAATGGAGTGTTTGCAAATGGAATTTACTGATTGAAATGGGTAAGAAACATTGACAACTTTAGTATCAGAGAATGCTCTGGTATAAAAAGCTAGGCTACCTCTTAGGGAAGTTACATGTTTCAACCTTGAGCAGGGTCATCCAGCCTCTTCCAAGGCCACATGGTGGCTGATGCAGAAGGGACAGGTCATTTCCAGCTCACTCACACATTATACCAAGAAGATACTGCATTTATTCATCAACTAAAAATAATCAGTAATAACATGTCATTAAAAAATAGCAATGAAACACCAAGCAATAAAGAAAAAGCGATCTTTATGTTCAAAGCATAAGACATGATAAAAGTCATAAATTGCTAAACTTATGTAGTAGCCATTAAAAAAATTATCTGTCACAGCAGAAACCAATTTTTCACCATGTAAAATGTGACATCATCTCTAAAGGCCCCTGCTACGAGAGGCATTTGCCAGTATTGTGGGTGTATTCTTCAAGGCTAATTAAAAATTTTCGGCCCTTAGATTTCAACACTACAGTTTTGCTACAGCAAAGTGAGATGGGGAAACTTAAGTCTGATGGGCTATGCCAGATGCCAAGGGTCAAAATTCCGGGCTCTCTTATAATCCAATTGACACATACAATATTTATTACAGAGCAGCAGGAGTTCATTATTTCATCAATAGGCTGAGAGATTAGATGATTTTTTTTTCAATTGAATAACTGGTCTACAATAATGGAATTCTATATCAGGTGTGGAATAAGCCAGTGGTCTGTTCTTTTATACCTCCAGTTAGTGCAGTAAACAAGGTGCCAGAATGATGGGCTGAACAGGATGGAAAGAGCATGCCTTTTAATGGTTTCCAATAGTGGTTTTGACAGTTACTTGAGATCATAATGCAAACATTAAAAGGGTTACCTTTGCCAGATTTCATGTGCTTAGGTGACTAGAATGTATAGCTGTGGCAAAGAAAAAAAAAATTAAGGCACCTGTAAGGGGGTGGCTCTGTTTCTTTCTTCAGAGTAATGTTAACATTTTCTCTATATTTCCTGAATAATTTGCCCTTAAAAAGCTAGGAATGTTGACTCCTACAAATACAATTGGAGTGGATGCTGTGTATAAATTCAGGATGCCCTGGTACCTTCAGACTCTCCCAAAAAGCAGGGGAGATACTAAAAATATTTAACAGCTAGTAAGATACAAAATGACCAATCGAATTGAACCCTGGCCAGGATGCTTTACCTGCAGGCAGAATGTAAGCCCTGCCAGGCCTTCTGTTGAGACATCTTGGGATTTGGCGGTCTTCATCTCTGAACCCACCGATGTTGGGAGAATGCTCAGATGACTCTGAATCTGGGAATTGCCCCAGAGTTGCATGTTCATTTCCTGCATATTTTTGTATTGTGGGTTAAAAAAGCATGAATGGCATGGCATGTTAGTAAGAACTCTGGATGAAATGGCCAAAAAATTTGCATTCGTGTCCCAACTCTGCTACTTGCCAACTGCATGACTGTGGATGGTACACATGCTCTCCCACTTAACTATAGAATGAAGGAATTGGATGAAAATTCTCTTTTGCTCCACAGTTCACTTCAGCTTCACACTCATGCCTGCTCGGAGATAATTAATAAAACCTTCCAGCTTTCTGAATTGTGAAAGTGCATACTCTCCTGCCAGTGGAAATTTCCGATTGTTACACAGTCTCACCCCAGAGATGGACTTGCTTTACCTTCATGAGATCCATATTTCTGCGGGGTGAGTACTATTAGCTAAAAAATTTGTCAAGTGTTCAGTGTTCTCTTCTATCTTACAATCTTCCATATCATGTCCCATGAAATTGGCACAGTTTCTTAAGTGGGAAACATGAAATGTCTAGGCTTTAGACCATGCCTCTGAAGGAGAAATGCCACATGGGCAGAAAGTTTTGAAGCAAGTGTACTGGAGTGAATTGTTGATCTCCTTCCTATTCTGCCAACCTTATTATGCACATTTTGGAAGAGGAATCAGTTGACTAATTATGTCACTTTTCTTGTGTTTCTTAAAAGTCATTGAGTACAAAAGAACTGGCCTGGATCTATCCATTACTCTAAGCAGTGGTAAGCAAAGACTTCTATCTACATCTACTTATAGTCTCTGCCCAATTGCCCTGATGGCCAGCCCTGCTCCAACCCTGCTCCACCAACCCTGCTCCTTCTTGCTACTGCTTTTTACTGAGGGTTAAAAATGTCCATTGCCTGACAATTGTAGTGAGGAAGAAAAACTGTTCCTGCCTTCATCACATGTGGGTAGGTGGACAGGGGTTTGCTTGCCAAGTCCAAATCTTTGTGTGGGGTAAGTTACTTCTTACACTGATCGTAAAATAAGCATCTGACATTTCCTGCAAATGCTCTATTTCTTAATACAGAGTTAACCTGCCAAAAACATTGTGTTTATAATCTAAATATTTGGATCATAAGCCAAAAGGGTGGGGGAGTCTGTCTTCCTCCATATTTTGCACAGTGATGTGTCCAAAAATGTTAATTATGATAATAATAAATAATCAAAAAAGAATATGTTGGGGGGAAAGTGTGAGGAGTCAGGAATGCTAAATTGCATTAGTTATGAGAATTATTTACAGGAGAAAAATGAAAAGATGCCTTTGGATTGCCCATCCCACTGCAGACTAGGAAGTTTTTGTACCCACAAGACATGCTTCATTCTGGGACAGGTCAAAGTGTTGTAAAGACTGATGCCAGGGTATTGGCTGGAACACCACTCACAAGGTGTGAAGCTTCCTGAGGGTCTAGTGGGGATTATGTTTTGTCTGGGAACAGGTTGAAAACCCAGAGCACTGTCTCTGGAGTCAGACAGACTTGGGTTTGGGTCAAGATTCTAACAGTTCTAAGCGGCCTCTCCTAGCCCATTTCCTCATCTCTGTTACAGGGTTAGTAAAGGCTTCTGTGTCAAAGGGCTCATATGAGCGTTGAATGAGTTTGAATGTGGAAAGTACTTGGCATGATACTTGCATGCAGAAGTACTCAACAAATGTAATGATGGTGGCGAGGATCACTGGAATCTCCCTCCTTTAATTGACAGCTGCGCTGGGCCTTCCCTGATGCTCAGGACCTGGTGCCTGGGGCATGCCTTCTGTTGTACCTTCACTCCTGCAGAGGCATGCCTGCTTCTTTCATGGACCATATGTCTCTTTTTCTGAGACAGCCTCAGCTTCAAATATTCTGATCCATTGTTTCCATAAAACAGTGAAATAACAGAGAAGTCCAGTATTTGATATATAGTAACTGAATGACTCAGGTCAATAATACAATAAAAACATGTGTCACCAAAAAATGAGTCACAGGCTGAAGAATTTATGCATTAATGAGGACACATGTGTGCATGCTAGCTCATATTCCATACAATTACATGTGTGAATGTGCTGTTGTTTTAGCTGTGAAGGTGAAGAATGTTATACTTTTAAAATCTTGCCACATTAGGGGCAATGCAGAGGCGATGGACTGTAATTGGGGGGAGAAACAGTGACTATTCCTACTATGCACTTGGAGAATTTAAAATAAGTTTAAAATTGTTTCAGAGGGTCAGAATTATTTTCCTTAAAATTTTAATTTAATGTTATTTTAACATCAAAACAAATGTAGAATGATTGCTAAAATTTGATTGGATAAGACATTTTGTAAGAATTCACAAAATCAGACCAAATTTAATCTTGAAACTGTGTCTAGACTTTTTATTTGGGAATTATGATTAACATATTGCTAATCAAAATTCCTGAAGCAGAGGTCTTTGTCTATACTGAAGACTTAAAGGAGAGTGAGATGTATTTATCTGAGATGATGGCCACAAAGCCCATGTGACTTGCATTTGATAGAATAATAATGGAGTAGCATTCTTAAGCCTGTGATTAATTGCAACAAGCCTTGGAAAGCTACTTGAAAAACTATGCTTTGTTTATAGTATTTATTTCTTTGATTCAAGAATTGTTCCAATTGCAAAACTCCTAGGGCACATGTTCAAATGATTAATGTATTATTTATATGGAAAATAACCTAAAGTAACAACTAAAGTAAAAGCAAATAGTTGCCTTAGTACCAACCTATGGCACAAGAACAACTAGGATAAAAAGAAGATGCGATCCCCTTCTTAGCTTTGTGTTCATACATGGTGAGGTATCCTCAGAATTTTGTATTATGGTACCCCTCTGGGGGCTGAGATAGAAAGTTCCCTAATGATGGAGACTAACAATCTTTAGTAGCAATGGAAGAGACTGGGCGTTTTATACATATATGGTCATGATTTGGAAACTTGTGAGGAAGGCCAAAGTGGATTGGGTGTGGTCTCAGTGTAGCACAATGGAATCTGGTGGCTTAAACCTAGCTGTCCACATTTCACTATCTGAAGAGCAGAAAATGTGTTAACAGAAGCCTGGTGAGCATAGGAGACTGAAGATGGAGAGAGAGCCTGGACCTCAACATGAGCATTTGGAGCCATTTGGCAGCATTAGGCTGTGACCACTTGGAGAACCGAAAGGTAAGATCTTCTGATTAGCTTCTCTTTTTCCGAGTTCATGTTTGCAAAGCACTTTGTAACTATAAAAGTTTCCTATTTAAGTTTTCAAATAGGGAGAATCCGCACTGACCAATGTTTGGTGTATTCATCAACTTGGTTTTAGTTGTCAGTGTAAATTAACTCACCGTCTGGGTAGAGGGGAAAATGAAATGACTTACTCTGTGCCAAGGAGAAACAGAGTGAAAAACAGACCTCAGAAGGCTTGGAACTCAGGCCTGCTCTATCACTTTCTCTATCTCTAACTTGCTTTCATTAGCTTGTAGAAGCTTGAGAGATGCACAGACACATCTTGCAACATCTTCTGGCTTCTCGATGTGCAAACGTTTATGTGACTGTGGGAGCCATGCGTGCATGCATGCTGGGATACCCCCATCTCCTCCTCCCTGGCAGTGTCCCTGCTCTCTTTAGATCCTCATGAGCTGACTCCGTTCCCATCCATGGATGCTGTGTGCAGAAGTGGGCCACTGGCCCTGGGCTCCACAGCTGGCTTTGAGCTCTGATCTCTGCGTTCATTTCACTCTGTAATCTCAGTCCCAGCAGACCTCTCATCTTCCTGGGTGATTGAGTGTAGATTCTAGTTTTATTCTTTTAACACTTTTATTTACTGATGAAGGAAATTCCTAATTTATTTTCTATTGGGGAAAAAATATGGACAAACCCTATAAAACCAGAAGATTGGCAACTACTGCCATTTTGAATCCCAGTTCTACAGAGTTTGGAGAATTATTAAATTTTTCTAGTTAAAAGAGATCTTAGAGGTCTTCTAGGCCAATGGGAACAAAAAGAAATACATTTTATATTGCAAAGTGCACACACATCCACCCACCAACACAAACAAATATTCGTACACATACACACAACTGAAATATTTTTTTTTTTTAAGATGGAGTCTTGCTCTGTTGCCCAGGCTGGAGTGTGGTGGCAGGATCTCGGCTCACTGCAAGCTCCGCCTCCCGAGTTCATGCCGTTCTCCCACCTCAGCCTCCCGAGTAGCTGGGACTACAGGAGCACACCACCAAACCTGGCTAGTTTTGTTTTTGTATTTTTAGTGGAGATGGGGTTTCATCGTGTAAGCCAGGATGGTCTCGATCTCCTGACTTCGTGATCCGCCTGCCTCGGCCTCCCAAAGTGCTGGGATTACAGGTGTGAGCCACTGCACCCGGCCAATCAAAGTTTTTAATGAAATAAACTGCTTACTGCAGTTATTACTTATATTGATATTTTCTATTCTATTTCGTGAAAACGACTACTGGTCACTAAACAATTAAGTTGGTTTTAGAGTCACCTAATTGTGTGTGTTGGGGGTGGACTTGCTGTGTTTAACCCTTAACCTCTGCTTGAGTCCATCTCCTAATTCCTCTCTTCTTCCAGTTGTAGAAGCAGGGACCAAATGGGACTTATCCACCTTATCTGTCACTGAACTGGGGCGTTACGATGACTAATGCAGAAAGGACACAAAGTAAGCTAGGAAGGCTGGCATGAAAACAGATAAATGGAATAAGTGCCTGAGAGCAGAAACAAACTTGGTAGGCAGTAATGCAGCCTCAGGCAGGGCTGGCAAGAATGTTTTGAGCATCCTTTAGAGATCTTCAATGCTGTCAGTTTTCTACATGTCGTTGAGCTCCAATTCCCTTATCCTGGGCACAGTAGAGCCTCCTCTGAGAGAAACTAATGTTGCTAACTGAAGGTCATGGCCAAAATCATGGTGTGCACACACTCCCAGGGTCACATTCTTTCTGATTCAGTGATAATTATACTAAAATAATAATAGAAATAACTTTCTTTCTTTCTTTCTTTCTTTCTTTTCTTCTCTTTTTCTTCTTTCTTCTCTTTTCCTTTCCTCCTCCTTCCTCTCTCTTCTTTCTCTCTTTCTTCTTTCTTCTTTCTTTTCTTCTCTCTCTCTTTCTTTCTTTTCTTTTCTTCTTTTCTTCTTCTCTCTTTTCTTTCTTTCTTCCTTTCCTTCTTCTTCCCTCTTCTTCCTTCTTCCCTTCTCTTTTCTTTCTCTCTCTTCTCTCTCTTCTCTTTTCTTTCTTTTCTTATCCTACTGAAGTTCGCTGTGTGGCCCAATCGCTGGAGCGTGCAGTGGCACGATCCTTGGCTCACTGCCACAAGCTCCGCCTCCCCGGTTCATGCCATTCTCCTGCCCCAGCCTCCCGAGAGAGCCTTGGGACTACAGGCCCACCACCCATGCTCGGCACAATCCTTCCTGTCATTTCCAAGACGGTCTGCCGTGTAGGCCAGGATGTCTCG